GATTCGATTGTCGGACAGGTCAAGCCGGATGACTGGACTTATAGGATCGGAAGGCAGACCCCAGCGAGCTAAGTGGATGGCTTCCAGTCGGTTCTGGCTGAGATCGAGAAGTTGCAGACCACGCAAGCCCCCCAACCAGCCAGTGCCCAGGCCATCGGTTGTGAGGAAGCGGTTCTGACGTAGCTGGATATCTCGGAGCTGAGGCGCCTCCAGCTGGTCTATAAAGCCGGGTTCAACATATTGCAGACGAGTGCTCTGCACTGTAAGCGCTTGCAATTCGAGCTGCCCGGATAGAGGAAATAAAGCCAGGCGCAATTCTCGTGATGTCAAGCGGACCAAGTTGTCACTTGCTTCGAGATCTGAGATCGCTTGCACCTCAAAGTCGTCCGAACTCGATCCCTTATTAGCGTCCTGCCGGAGGTGACTGCTGATGTCAGTGCCAGTGATTGTGAGCGACCGGAGAGTCTGCAGGCAAGAAATAGAGGTCCCGACTTCAGTCTCAGTAGCAATACGTAGATCTCCAGCCTTTGGAGGCCAGCTTAAGGGAGTCAGGTGGATAGAAAACTCCTGCCATACGGTCTGACAGACGAGGTGTGATGTCCGTTCATTAAAAGGCACGGATTCGCACCATGAGACGGGCAGTTGCATCCGAAGGTCAGAGACTGCCTCCTCAGATGCGTCACTCAGTTGTTGCCGTTTATGTTCGTTAAACTGGTCGTATCCAGTCCTTTTATAAGAATCCAGTCCTGTTTTTGCCAACCAGACATCCTTGGCGGGCCATAAGCAACAGACGGCTCGGCTCAGGGACTTTGAGCATTGGCAACCAGGTGGACAGCTCGGGGTAGGCACCGAATACTCCATAAAGGTCAGTCTAGGCATACCCACAAGTAGGAGTACAAGCTGATGCAATAAGCTAGTCCTTTTGGCAGCAAAGTAATCCATTCTACGGAGGGAGTGACGCCAGCATTAACAAGGCTGGACTGGGCCCCAAGGAGGCCGCCAAGACCGACGAAAAATAAACGAGAGCGAGGGCGTATGAAAAGGAAAGGTAGAGCGGGCCGGAAGAATGCGGCACGAACTGTACAATCTGATAGATGAAAGCATAAGAAATGAAGGTTAGGACAGATCAACCAATAGGAGATATGGCGGCAACTGATTGGTTAAAGTCCGATGCAGTCGGTCACTGATTGGATGAAAAAAATGAGCAAAGCTGACCAAGAGGCCAAAGTGATGACCTATCCAAAAGTCGGCTACCTCCAGTGTCCCTTGACACCCAAGACTTAGTCATAAATGAGGAATGCTGCAATTTCTCTCTTATTTATCATAGTGGTATTATGGAAAGAAATAAATATTTCTCCGGACCAATACACAGCCAATGTAAGATGCCAAAAGTAAGCATATAAATTATCGGAAATATCAAGACCGTCGGGATAAAATATAAGTATGATGAATGAGTGGATTGATTGTTCCAAGATAGTGTGACACCTTTCTGCAATGAGTATACATGGCACAGGCTGGGCAACGAATGCATCCGCTTTCAATGGTAAGCAGGTATGTGAAATATGTTCCCCTCATATGCGCACGATAGTTTAGCCCCCCAGACGAAGGAAATATAAAATCTTTAGGTGAAAATAGTAGCGGAAGTATGAATCCACAACGAATTTGATCAACTGTGAAGAAAGGCAGCGGTATTCACTTTTTATTAAAATAAAAAAATGAAAAAAAAGCAAAATTCATCAACGGCTTAGATGGATAAAGTTGATAGCACAGGTGATCATCTGGCGGTAGGTAGAAAGGAAAGGTAAAAAGAAGGCTGCTTGCAAGTCGATGTTGAGCAACCAGTTTATGAGAAGTGTTTGAAAGTAGCAAAGATAGCATGAAGATTTTGGCAGATAATTGCGAAAGAGATAAATATAAACGAATAAAATGGTTGTTAACAAATAAAACAGTGTGAATGAGCTTTCGGATTTATACAATCTTATGGATGATTGAATGCTTGCTTTTGTGATTTGGGTGGGTAGAAACTGACCAACCTGCAAAGGTGTAAATAAAGGTCGTCCTACAGCCTGTCAAAGACCCAAGGCAAATAGTGCAATAAAGGTGATAAGGCAGGATTTAAAAAAAATTGTTTTCCGATGAATCCCTTAATAATGTAATGTGACTTGGTTTTTCATTTTGAAGAAATAGTTGACTGGAATGGATTCGTGAATGCACCTTACCAGAAACACAGGGGGGATTGCCTTAAGAAATACCGAATTTTGAACTGTGCGAATAAGGCAGTATTATATATATAGTTTTGATAGAAAGTATCTAGGGGGCACATCCGAATGCGATGAAAGACAAGATTCAAGCAGCCCATCCTTCATCGGTGTTGCTCAGCTTCAATACTAACAATGCATGAATATACAAGACCGTATTTTGCTCTCATAGTGTTAGCAAAGCGATAAGACAAATACTGAAAAGCAGTATGGACGAACTCAACTGGAGGTGAACAAGCACTGCTTTAACGTGTGCGCATATGTGCAGAATAACCCTCTGTTAATTATGCCCCTGTAACCTAAAATTATCCTTCACAAAAAGTTAAAAGCAAATGCCCGTGTACAGGAAAGATAGCTATACTTTATGAATGTTTTCCTAAAACAATATTGCATCTAAAGAAGTAACCATTGATCAAATTGGCAAATCGAGGTCATCGCATTCCCCAAAGAGGCTTTGGACCGTAGTACCAACAACGTAGAAGAACGTGAATATAGATTACATATATTTTTGGAAAGACTAAAATTCCTGCTGCGTTTTAAGTACCCATTGGCTGGGAAACAAATGACAAAATTAATGAGCATATCGAAGTCAATTGCTTTCGGGGACTCATTAAGCAATGGCGTTATAGACAGAATAAATGGCTCAAAGATACCGATTCATAATCAAGGCAACCATAACCTACCCTTTGTTACTGGGTCGTTCGGTTGTTGATTAGTTAAGCTAAGCGAATAAGGTCAGAAGGTGCAGTTACATAGCAAATTTATCCTATACCTCCTGTCAGTCCGGTAGCTAGTGACTTGTGTTGGAAGCTGCAATAGACCTTGTTGCGTGCTGCCAAACAATCAGCATAGTTACCAACATCTTCGAAATAAAAGAATCGAAATGTTGCATGCGATTTGTTCGCAATGCCGACACCACCACAGGGGATATA